CAGGAGGTGTCCAGGGCGTGAGTGACAGTGATTAGGTCCCTCTGATCTAGGAATGGGTGCAACTGGCGCACCACACGAAGCTGTGCAAAGGCCCTCCTAGACACAACTGCCACCTGCTCTTCGAGTTACCATGAAGAGTATATGTTATACATTTATTGATCTTTAAGATGCTAATTTATCTTTCCTTTTAAAAAAATTAATAAACCTTGTTTAACACCCCTCCCCAAAAAAACCCACACACAGTATACATACAGGTGCACACACACAAGCTGTTTCTTTATGAGGTTTATGAGGCACTTATAGCTTGGTTAACTGTATATGGTTGGGTGAGCAAGGCACCTGGCAGAACCATAGGATATATTGATGGTTTAGCCAGTTTCATGGCTGCATATGCTATCTTAATAGGTAGAGAGTAGGGGAGCGTAAAGAGTTCACAGTTTTCTTGTATAAATTTTAGGAATAAAGTGATTGCAAGGTTATATTAGATATGAACAATTTGATCCTGTGAAGCACATTGGAAAACCTTATCATCAAACTAATACCTCAAAAGATACTGTACATTCGTTGTCTGCAGTGATTGGCATTACACTGTATATTAGAACATAATTTTAAAAATACCAAACATTCAATTCTTCAAGATTCTAAGAATCAATGGACTGCAGAAAAGTGTCTAGCGAATGGAATTCTCATAGCACCTGTTTGGGGCCTATGTTATCTTCTGGAGAAAAACAATCATCCTTTGCCATGCACTGTTTCTCATTTAAAATTCATTCTGATTTTTAAAAGGAAGCATGGATATTCTTCACTTAGCATAGTTATTTTACCTGTTTCCATGTTTTCCCTTCTCCATTCAGAAACATTTAAACTATGCATTTTAAGTCTCTGAATGATAAATGCTTTTGCTTCTATTTCTCCAAAGGGTTGGAGCACTTTTGGCCAGCTTCCTGTGGGTGAATCACAACCTTTGGCATGCAAGCCCAGTCTCCTTTCTTGGAAGGAAACAAGCAAATTGCCATAGCCCTGTAACTTAAGAGAGATTTCAGCCAAGTTCATTATGATCAAAATACTGGCAGCTTTTCTCCCCTTCCCAGCAAAATCTGCATTGCTTTCTAAGAGCCTTAAAATCAGCACAGATCCCTGTGCCATCTTTCTGTGGCCTTTTCCAGTTGGCACACATTAATTGTGGACATCTTTAGAAGCCAAAAAATATTTATATCAAAACTTGTTTAATGAGGGAAAGCAATCTGTGCTTGTGGATTCTTCTAGTCATGCACATGTATGGTTTTCTTTTCTTTTGTAAACAAGAAGATGCTTTGATTCCAATAGAAAAAAATGGTTTCTCCATATCTTTGCAGTGAAAAAGGTTTCCAAAAATTTCCTAGCAGTTTTGTAAACTTATCAGGCAGTGTGTTACCAAAGCAGGCTAGAGAGAACGGGGAGGGAATATTTACAACCGAAGCAGAAACTGAACTCATGAAGTTTGCATGGATAGAGCCTAAAAATGTCAATCTTAAATTGATTAATCTGTATTTGGTATTCTGCTGATTTCAGACACATACTAATGTTTGTTAACACAAAACAGACAACACTAGAACTACTAGACTATAGTCCATAAAGATTTATACCATAATAAATATATTAAAACTTTAAGGGGCTAATTTATCCCTTCTTCTCTCACTAAGGGTCCTATATTAATTGAAGAGGTTAACTATTTCTGATGTTGAGGTTCACTATAAGGAAGGTCATTTAAACGCATATATTTATGCATGCATACAAAATTTGGAAAAAGCAATTCACTACTGTAATCTATTAGCCCTTTTTTCCCCTCCAATTTGTTCTTAACATTTTTGCTGCTTTTCTTCTCTTTGATATAGTTTTCACTTACATTCTTTGAGGCACCTCCTTCTCCATTTCCCTCCTCAAGATCCTTGGCTTTAGCATAGCGTTGCTATTTTCTGTATGCTCAGCTGATTATTAGCTGTTAGATTTTAACTCTTCCCTGTTTTTTCATCTCCCCCCCACCCCACCTTGGCTACAAAACAGTGGTGATAAGCATTCCCCATCTGAAAATACAGGTGGTAATATGCAATGTTAAAACTGTAGATTTTTTTTTTTAACTCAGTATTCATATAAGTCTCTTCCAAGTAAAAATGCCTAGGGTCAGCCTGCATAAATCTTTTTATTAATATTTTCTAATCTTTTATACTTTTATAATCTTCTAACATTTTATATCTATGTAAAAGATATAAATGTAAAACATGTAGTACTTAGAAAATACAATGCCTTTGCTTTTATAAATGATTCATGACCACTTTTATCCAGCATTCTCATGTAATTCTCATGTAATGAGAATGCTGGGTAAAATAATAGAAAAGATCTACAGCATATCCACAAAATCATTAATGTTCTGTTTCCTTTAATGAACTTAACAGGATACTGAAAGCTTTGAGATGAAAAGTGCTGAAGTAGTAAAGAAACCCAAAATTGCCTCTATCTCAGTGAACAAGAAGCTCAAAAAAGAAACAAAGAAGAAACGGTAAAATGGTATCATGATGAAATTTTCACAATACCCTTACGGCAACAAATCAAATGATATTGAAGATGACACTGGCAAAAAATGAACATTAAAGATATTTGATAAAGCTGTGCTTATTCTAGTTTTGAGGGAGTAGATATACTTTCTAAAATGGCTTCAGGTTTATTGTTTCATCTGATCTGTAGTAAATAGCCTGTAAGGTTAGTGAGAAACATCTTACAGTTTGCTTCAGTAAAAGAGGAAAAAAAATCCTTGGCCAATGTTTGAGGGAAAACTGGATCATAGGTACGGCCCATCACACCACCCTTTTCCATCTTTTAAGCAGTGGGATCAAGCACTAATACTACTTTTGTATGTTGTTAATATAATTGGTTCTATAACCTTATTGTTATTCTTTCATTTTCTTTTATTAAAAAAAGAGTCCTGATAACTGTGTCTGTGTTTAGCTTTCCTTGCATCTGAGAATTCTCTGGCAATTTATTGTTTTCCCTACTGTTGGTGTATAGTATCCCAAGTTGCTGTTCAAATCATTCTCTTTAAGCTTATTGGGCTGAATAAATGAGAACTGTAACTCCCGCTCAACAAAAAAATGAACATTTCTGTGCCAGTAAAGAACCTCTCACTAGGGGCATCAGCAAGTCAATTGTGGATCTTCTACTAGTATGTAAAATGTAGTTCTCTTAAGTGAGATAGCCTCCTTCATGCCTCTTGGCAGCAAAGTGAAGACAGGATTGTGATAGCTATGTAGTCAAAATAGAGCTATTGAGAAACTAGAGGCATCTGTTCACATTCTCGGGAAAATTCCCAAATCTGCAGATGGGAAAAAAATTAACTAGGTAAAAACCAACCCTGAACAAACGTATTCCATGCTGCGAAACCTATATCTTTATGTTAATAGCAGAGCATAAAATCTGCTTTGGTCCCTGCCCCTGCCATCTTATGATGTCCCACATGCAGGGTTACTTTGTGCAGACTTTATTATGCAATGGATCAAATGTGTCATGTCTGCCATGGGATCCATGAAGCTGGATCAAACTAATCCAGCAGAAAGTAGTGCCTTCCATGGGCAAGAGAATAAACCCTCCTATGCAAACATTATGATGTATCTATAGGAGGAGCCTGAGGGAGGTGGTCATTGACTATGCAAAAGCCTTTGATTGTGTGGATCACAACAAACTGTGGCAAATTCTTAAAGAGATGGGAATACCAGAC